ATCTGTCTAACTTTCTTTCTCTCTCCCTGGGCTCCGTCTTCAACTATCTCCTCACTCCTCCTCCTCCTCATATCATACACTAAATTTTATTACTTAAAAGATAAAACAACAAAATAAATCAAAAAACTAAATAAATGTAAATCACAATTTGCAGTGCCAAATCTAAAGGTTACCCCTTTATCTCAAATGTTTAAGTTCAATTGACTCTTCCAGTTCCTAGAACTGTAAAATCTTCTTCCATGAACACACACACACGCACATGCACACACACACATACACGCACACACAAGCGCACATGAGCTCACACACGCGCGCACACACACACACATACACACACACAAACACGCACAAACCCCTGAAAACTTACACTTTCTTAGTCATTTAATAATCTCTGATGACACTACTATTATAGGCCAGATCTCAAACAATGACGAGACAGAGTGCTTGGTGGCATGGTGTAAAGATAACAATCTCTCCCTCGACATAAGAAAAATGAAAGAGTTGGTCATTGATTTCAGGAAGCAAGGTGAAGGGCACGACCCTATTTACATCAATGGAGTTGAGGCAGAGATGGTCAACAGCGTCAAGTTCCTCAGAGTGACGATCACCAACAATCTGTCCTGGTCCACCCACATTGATGCAATGGTCATGAAAGCACACTAATGCCCCTACTTCCTCAAGAGACTGAGGAAATTTGGCATGTCCATAAAAAGTCTTACCAATTTTTATAGATGGTACGGCAATGGCTCTGCACTGGACTGTCAGAACTACTTAGAGTTGTGAACACAGTCCAATCCATCACACAAGCCAACTTTCCATCCATTGACTCTATTGATTACTCTTGCTAGCTCGGAAAGGCAGCCAACATAATCAAAGATCCCTCCCACCCCAGTTGTAATCTCTTCCAACCTTACCATCAGGCAGAAGACATAAAGCTTAAACACACATACTGACAGATTCAAGAACAGCTTCTTCCCCCCTGTTATTAGACTTCTGAATGGATCTCAAATTTAATTTTGACCTTGTTCTCTGTGCACCTTCTCCACAGCAATAACATAGTATTTCTCCTTCTATTCTATTACCATTTGTATGGTATGATCTGCCTGTACTGCTTACAAAACAAATCTTTTCACTGTACCTAGGTGCATATGACAATAATAAATCAAATCAAAAATCTCCAGTAATATCTATAAATCAGGAGATGAATGAGAGAGAGGAACTTAAAATTATAATCACTGAGGAAGTGATACTAGGAAAACTGATGTGTCTGTGAGCTTACAAGTCTTCGGGTTTAGATGGATTTCACCCTAAGGTCTTAAAAGAGTTTTCTAATGAGGTAATAGATGCAACAATTTTAATTTTCCTAAGTCTTCCAGATTCAGGAAAAAGTTCACTGGCCTGAGAAATAGCAAATATAACATCACGAATCAAGAAGGGAGGGAGGCAGAAAATGAGGAAACTATGGGTCAATTAGCTCAACATCTGTCATGAGGAAGATATTAGGAACAATCATTAAAGAGATTATAGGTGAGTACTTAAAGAAAGCTCAAGGTAATAGAAAAGAGTCAGCATTGTTTCATCAAATGGAAATCATGCTTAATCAATTTATTGGAATTCTTTGAAGGAGTAACATGCACTATGCTTGAATTTTCAGGGGTCATTTAATAAGATGCTACGTCAAAAGTTACTGTGCAAAATAAAAACTAATGGTTTAGAGGGTAACATATTATTGTGAATGTAAGATTGGCTTGCAGGCTTGTAAAAAACAGAGAGTATGCATTAATGTGTCTGCGCCTGATTAGCAGGATGTGACAAATAGCTTTTACAATACATTTTAATGACTTACCAAATGTTGGTACGCAGGTACAGTAAGTGATTAAGAATCCCAATATTCAATTATAATGAGAAATTGAACATAAAGGCTGTTCACTTTGGCAGAAAGAATTAAAAAAAAGTATGTCATAAATACGAAGATTGCAGAATTCCAAGGTCCAAGGGATTTAGGTATATTAGTGCATGAGCCACAAAAAGCTAGCCTTTACTTACAGCACCTAATCAAGAATTGGATACAATCCTTTATTACAAGAGAAATTGAACATAAAAGTAAGGGTGCTATGCTTCAGTTATACAGGACACTGATGAGATCATATCTTGAATACTGTCTGCAGTTTTGATCTCCTTGTTTAAGGAATGAAGTAAATGCATTGAAGGCAGTTCAGAACAGGTTTGCCAGATTGCTACATGGAAAGAGTAGGTTAGTTTATGAGGATAGATTGGACAGGCTGAGATTGTTTTCAGTGGAGTTTAGAAGAGTGAGGATTGGAGTGAATAAAATCCTGAATGGTCTTGACAAGGTGAATGAGGAAAGGATATTTTCTGTTGTGGGTCAGTCCAGAACTAGAAGTCACTGTTTTAAAGTGGGGGTCAACATTACAGAGCAGTGTTGATGTGAAATATTTTCATTCAAAGGGTTGTGCAACTTTGGAATGCTGTACATCGGAAAGCAATGGAGGCGGGGTCATATTTTGTAAACAGAGGGAGATGGATTTTTGTTAGGCGGGGCAGATAGAAGTGTGCAATACAATACATAAACTGACTAGCCATGATCTTATTGAATGCTGGAGAAAGCTAAGGGGGCTGAATGGTCTATCTCTGCTCCTGTTCCATACATTCCTGGGTTCATATCAGCAGTCACATGCTATGGATTCTCTGGGAGAAAATAAGTAAAGTCTGTACTGCAGAGCTCAATTACAGGATTAGAATGGTGTATAATTGTGTGTAAATAATTTGTTGGAACTCCTGAGAGTCTGTCAATAGTCACTCTTGACTTAGATTCGGCACATGAAGTGCAGAGATGGCATAGTCTAAGTGAGCATTCTCTCAGCAGTGCAGTTCGGATCCCAAACATCATGACAACCTAACCCAAGAGGACTGATCAACTTGGGATTATATCAGTAATGACAGATCAAGCCAAGAAGTACAGCTAGTGCAGAGATAGCAGGAACTGCAGATGCTGGAGAATCTGAGATAACAAGGTGTAGAGCTGGATGAACACAGCAGGCCAAGCAGCATCAGAGGAGCAGGAAGGCTGATGTTTCGGGCCTAGACCCTTCTTCAGAAATGGGGGAGGGGAAGGGGGTTCTGAAATAAATAGGGGGGAGAGAGGGGGAGGCGGATATAAGATGGATAAAGGAGAAGATAGGTGGAGAGGAGACAGACAGGCCAAAGAGGCAGGGATGGAGCCAGTAAAGGTGAGTGTAAGTGGGGAGGTAGGGAGGAGATAGGTCAGTCCAGGGAGGACGACAGGTCAAGGGGGCGGGATGATGGGGGTGGGGCTTGGGGTGGGAGGAGGTGATAGGTGGGAGGAAGGACAGGTTAGGGATGCGGAGACGAGCTGGGCTGGTTTTGGGATGCAGTAGGGGGAGGGGAGATTTTGAAGCTTGTGAAGTCCACATTGATACCATTGGGTTGTGGAATATGAGTTGCTGTTCCTGCAACCTTCGAGTAGCATCGTTGTGGCACTGCAGGAGGCCCAGGATGGACATGTCGTCTGAGGAATGGGAGGGGGAGTTGAAATGGTTCGTGACTTGGAGGTGCAGTTGTTTAGTGCAAACCGAGCGTAGGTGTTCTGCAAAGCGGTCCCCAAGCCTCCGCTTGGTTTCCCCGATGTAAAGGAGGCCACAACGGGTACAGTGGATGCAGTATACCACATTAGCAGATGTGCAGGTGAACATCTGCTTGATGTGGAAAGTCCTCTTGGGGCCTGGGATGCGGGTGAGGGGGGAGGTGAAGGGGCAGGTGTAGCACTTCCTGCGGTTGCAGGGAAAAGTGCCAGGTGTGGTGGGGCTGGAGGGGAGTGTGGAGCGGACAAGGGAGTCACGGAGAGAGTGGTCCCTCCGGAAAGCAGATAAGGGTGGGGAGGGAAAGATGTCTTTGGTGGTGGGGTCGGATTGCAGATGGCGGAAGTGTCGGAGGATGATGCGTTGGATCTGGAGGTTGGTGGGGTGGTACGTGAGGACGAGGGAGATTCTGTTTTGATTGTTATTGCGGGGAGGGGGTGTGAGAGATGAGTTGCGGGAAATGCGGGAGACACGGTCGAGTGCATTCTCGACCACTGAGGGGGGGATGTTGCGGTCCTTGAAAAATGAGTACATCTGAGATGTACGGGAGTGGAATGCCTCATCCTGGGAGCAGATGCGGCGGAGGCAAAGGAATTGGGAATAGGGGATGATATTTTTGCAGGAAGGTGGGTGGGAGGAGGTGTATTCTAGGTAGCTGTGGGAGTCGGTGGGCTTGAAATGGATATCGGTTTCCAGGTGGTTGCCAGAGATGGAGACAGAGAGGTCCAGGAAGGAGAGAGAGGTATTGGAGATGGTCCAGGTGAACTTAAGGTTGGGGTGGAAGGTGTTGGTGAAGTGGATGAACTGTTCGAGCTCCTCGTGGGAGCACGAGGACTTCATAAGCTTCAAAATCTCCCCTCCCCCTACCGCATCCCAAAACTAGCCCAGCTCATCCCCACCTCCCTAACCTGTCCTTCCTCCCACCTATCCCCTCCTCCCACCCCAAGCCCCACCCCAATCTCCTACCTACTAACCTCATCCCGTCCACAGTTGGTGCATTCGCCCTCCCTGCCCCAAGGCACAGGGCTCTGCTGTGGGAGGACCCTTAAATCGACTCGCACCTTGAAATACAGGCCGGTTCAGGCCTCTCAAAGCATACCTTTGGCTTTGTCAATCAGATACACCCCGGTGGGGTCTGGGAAGTGAAAAATCAGCTCTTTTAAGTATTGTAGTTGCCAAGGCAGTTTTTCTGAAATGTTCTTCCACTTCCTTCTGACTTCTATTCCTATCTCATTGGATAACCAGGAATGTTCAGCCCTTAAAATCTGCCTTGCCTAAATGTCTTCCATGAGAGTTTCGTAACTTCAACCTTGAGCAAAGGTAACACAGGATATTTCCCACAATAATTTGCCAATACAAAGACTGCTCACAGTTACTTACAGATATAGGCGAGCGGGTACTTCGGACAGGTGGAGAACATCTTCTGCAGTATTTCATGCCATTCCTTGTCCAGCCTGTCTTTAATATCTTTGCTACTCTCATTGGGAAACCATTCAGTGCCAGTGGTGCTGAAGGGAGAAAAAATAACCAACTCTTGGAAACAAATATCCCAGCATAAAGGCAAAGAATGGTTGAAAACAGGTTGAAAAGTACATGCTATTATATTGCTACATCGGTTACATGAAATTTAATCCTTTAAAGGCAAGGACTGATTAGGAATAGTCAACATGGCTTTGTGCATGGGAAATTATGTCTCACTAACTTGAGTTTTTTGAAGAAGTGACAAAGAAGATTGACGAAGGTAGAGCAGTGGACGTTGTTTAAATGGGCTTCAGCAAGGCATACGACCAGGTTCTGCGTGGTAGACTGGTTAGCAAGTTTGGATCACATGGAATCCAGGAAGAGATAGATATTTGGATACAAAATTGGCTGAAAGGTAGGAGATAGAGGATGGCAGTAGGGGGTTGCTTTTCGTATTGGAGGCCTGTGACCAGCAGTGCATCACAAGAATTGGTGCTGGGTCCACTACTTTTTGTCATTTATATAAATGATTTGCATGTGAATATAAGAGGCATGGTTAGTAAGTTCGCAGACGGCACCAAAATCGGTGGTGCAGCAAGAAGTGAAGAAGGTTATCTCAGAGTGAAATAAGGCCTTGATCAGATGGGCAAATGGGCTAAGGAGTGGCAGATGGAGTTTAATTTAAATAAATGTGACGTTCTGCATTTTGGTAGTGCAAATATCAGGGCAGGACTTATACACGTAATAGTAAGATTCTGAGGAGTGTTGCTGAACAAAGAGATCTTGAAGTGCAGGTGCATAGTTCCTTGAAAGTGGAGACAGTTAGATAGGATACTGAAGATGGCATTTGGTATGCTTGCCTTTATTGGTCAGTGCATTGAGTATAGGAATTGGGAGGTCATGTTGCAGCTGTACAGGACATTGGTTAGGCCACTTTTGGAACATGCATTTAATTCTGGTCTCCGTATTATCGGAAGAATGTTGTGAAACTTGAAAGGGTTCAGAAAAGATTTACAAGGATGTTGCCAGGCTGTAGGGAGAGGCTGAATTGGCTGAGACTATTTTTCCTGGAGCATCAGAGACTGAGGGGGTAACCTTTTAGGGGTTTTTCAATTCACAATAGGTATGGATAGGGCAAAAAGCCAAGATCTTTTCCCCAGGGTGGGGAGTCCAAAACTAGAGGGCATAGGTTTAAGGTGAGAGCAGAAAGATTTAAAAGGGACCTGAGGGACAATTTTTTCATCCAGCAGAATGTGCGTGTATGGAATGAGCTGCCAGAGGAAGTGGTAGAGGCTGGTACAATTACAACATTTAAAAGGCATCTGGATTGGTACATGAATAGAAAGGGTTTAGAGGGAGATGGACTTCTAAATGCTGGCAATTGGGTCTAGATTAATTTAGGATATCTGGTCAGCATTGACAAGTTGAACTGAAGGGTCTGTTTCTGTGTTGTATATCTCTATGACTCTATGAATTGCTGTCTGACTTCTCAGTTCTCCAAAGCAGCAGCTGCCTAATTTCCTTAACATTTTTTCAACTGGATATCTTGAATCTCCAAACATCTGGAAGTTGTGTACCATATCAGCCAGAATTGTTCACCTAATTTCATGCTATGTTACCTCCTAGCACTAGTCTTTTCCATGGTGTTATTGAGATTATATTTGTCCCATTGATTGTGGCTTCATTATAGGACAGCCATTGTTTTGGTTAGCTATGGCTGCATGAAACAACAAGAAAAATAATATGGTTGGGCTTTTGCATCTCTGTGGTTGGAAACCAGAATTATCCACTAATTTATTTTAATGGTAGGAAGTTACATCTAAAATCGCTGCATATTGTTTTTGCTTTGCTTTTTAATATTTTAGAATCATAGAGTCATAGAGTCAAACAGCATGGAAACAGGCTCTTTGGTCCAAACTGTCCATGCTGACCATAATCCCAAACTAAACCAGTCGCATTTGCCTGTGCTTGTCCCATATCCCTCCAAACATTTCTTTTTGGCGTACTTACCTAATTGTCTTCTAAACATTGTAACTGTACCTGCATCCACCACTTCCTCTGGGAGTTCATTCTTCACACGAACTACCTTTTGAATAAAAAAAGTTGTCCCTTATGTCTTTGATAAATCTTTCTCCTCTCACCTTAAAAATATGCCCCAGAGTATTGAAATCCCTCATGCTAGGGAAAAGACTCCTGCCAGTCACCTTATCTATACCCCTCATGGTTTAATAAACCTTTATAAGGTCTCCCCTCAACTTCCTATGCTCCAATGAAAAAAGTCCCAGCCTAAACCCTCCATTCCTGGTAACATCCTGGTAAATCTCTTCTGAACGCTGTCCAGCTTAATAATATCCATCCTAAAACAGGAAGACCAGAACAGGACACATTATTCTAATTCTATTCTTGGTTGTGTGTAAATAGAACAAACTAAATGTATTGAACATGCAAATATTTCCTAAAGAGTAAGGATGAAATCCAACTATAACTTTTCTGAAGAAGGGTCTAGGCCCCAAACGTCAGCTTTCTTGCTCCTCTGATGCTGTCTGGCCTGTGGTGTTCATCCAGCTCTACACCTTGTTATCCATAACTTACCAAGTGATCAGTTATTGACAAGGAAAAGGGTCTATGAAGAAATTTGGAAACTGTTAAGAATTTTCACTCCCCAAAACTCTCTTGAGCCAATGTTCAGGCTGTAGGTGAGTTCCAAGTAATAAGCTATTATCTCATGCCTATTTACTTGCAAGTTGTAAGTGTGAAGGGGAATTGAGAAGGGGATCTTGGAGTACGGAGAAACCAATCACTAAAGGCTGTATCACAGGTTAGAAAGAACTTAAACCAAAACAAACATGAGACTTTATTTCTTGAGAGAGTGAATTGTAAAAGAATTTGTGGTTCAATTTGGTTGGATCACATTTAGAGTAATGTATATAATTCAGGTTGTCATATTGTTAAAGGAATATTGAGGCGATGGAGAGGAAGCAGACAAAATTAAGGATTATATCAGATATATGAGGGGATATACATTGGGGAAGGATGCACGGACTGAATTTATTTTTCTCTTGTAAACAGAAGGCTGAGAAATGACTTAATAGAGGCCATTAAAATAATGAAAGCTTTTGATAGGCAAGGTACAGAGAAAATAAACTGAATTCTCAGTCCTGGGACAGTTTCTACCAATTTCCCAGCTGTGCAAACCTGAACTGAAAGATAGTGCCACAGAAGTTAAAACTTTCATTCTGGGTGCCCACATCCGCTTGGAGTCAGGCTGGGGTCCTCTGGAACTCATGTTCAGGATCCCCAGTGTAGAGGAGGATTGGGCAGAAGGCTTGCATGGATGATCTGGCAATGTGTTGAAGTTTTCTTAAAAAAAAACTCCATAAAACAAGACTCCAGCTGTCAGACATTTTCACCTCCCATATTCCCCATTTCCCATCCATGATAACCTCTGCCAAGTCATGCCTTCCACTCACCGCCATAACCTCTCATACCTCCCATGTCAATCTATGCCCCTCTGCCTACCCCATGACCTTTTATAACCACAATCTCCACGCATCTCATGGTCAAAATTCATGCCAATTTATGTCAACTCATAATACGCCAAGTTACCAGCCTTTGTCCTTACACCTATGACGTGATTAAATAAAGTTCTATATTTATTGCAGACTTTAGTTTTGCAGAAAAACACTCAATTCATAAAAACTTATTCATTACATTTGTGTTCTTTCAACTCTTAATCCCTTATTGGAACAAACATTTAATTCACCCATAATGACAATTAAAAACAAGCTTTGGAATTCATCATCCCACTTCAAACGGTTTATAGTTACTTGGAGCTGTGAATCAAACTGTGAAATTTCAGGTACCCTACTGTGATAACAGAAGATTGTGAAATCCATCATGTAGCACTAATCCATAGTGGTACCTCTCACGTTCTTGTAAATGAACAGAATAAAATTCCAAATGACAATTTTCATGGATTTAAAGAGTGGAAGTTGTGAAAGTGTTGACAGCTTGAAAGTTAGTTTTGATGGGTCGTTTTGACTCTTTTGACCATAGATTTGACACTTTTGACAGTTCCAGTAAGGTTGTTAATTCCTTATGCATGTTTTATGCACATTCACCATCCTAAAGTACACCTAGCTCTCCCAAAGGGCACTTGATCTCTCCTGAAGGGCACCTTACCTGACTCCTTGCCAGATGTGTGCAAGGACCATATCCAAAGGGTATGTTTCCTCTTTATACCAGCTCTCTAAAGAGCTCAGAAAAATTCAGATTTTTGCCTACCAGGTCTAACTATGCACATCATGTTACCAGATAGGGAGTTTCAAGATTTTAGACCCAACAACAATGAAGTAATATATTTTCTAATTGGGATTATGTTACTTGGAGGACATTATTTAAACTGTTCCCGTCTAAACCAGGTGAGGAAGAAATGGGTCAGATCACAGGGACTGGTTGGGTCAGGGTCTGGGAGTGATGTAGTTGTGTATGTGTAAGGAGGAAGGGGTCATTATTAGACTATATTAGTGTTTAACTTCTCCCGAGTAAATATCTTACTTGATTTTATTGAAACTCTCCAAAGTCTCATTCAAATTTAAATGGAGACTTTCAAAGGATTCAAAGTTTAGGGAAATTGCCCAGCAACAAATTCAATCTCCTGAGTAATTTCTCCAGAATATGTTATGACGGCAATTCCGCAGGGTTCCTACGAGCAACACTCATCCAGGCTGGGTTAACAACTATTTAGTCACTGGAAAATCCAGGCTGATGTTTTTCTCTCCCTTAACACACATAATATAGAAATATAAATTACACTTAAAGTTATATATCATTCCTCCACTGTAGAACATAAGTTCTCAAACAATAATAATACATTATGAACCTTCATCAAACAAGTCCACTTTTCTTTTGATAAGGGAACCAAAACTGCACACAATACTTGGTGCAGTCTCATTAAAATTTTACACAATTAAAGCAAGGCAATTTTAGTTCTTTTCTCAG